TTTTCAAAAAAAAACCCTAAAGTGGCTGAGCCCGTTATATGGGATCCATACCAAAACGGGAACCTATATAGGCCATTTTATACTTCAAGGATTGTCATCTACCAAATCTTCTCAAATGCCGAATTTGAAACAATATCGTCGGTAAATATGACTAGGATTATCAAAATACCGAGTAGCGATGGGTATCGTTATATGTGCGCTATAGAAAAACGTGGACCTAAATTTTCAATGTTCTGCCACCGAAACGAGAACCCTTTATGACCCACAAATACCAATTTTTAGACAAATCCGTGAAAAATGTGGCAAAAATCATGAAAATACCGAATATCAGGAGGTAGCGTTAAATGTGGGCTATACAAAAACCTGCACCTGCACATTATGACCTACAAATACCAATTTCTAGACAAATCCGTGAAAAAGTGTGGGAAAAATCATCAAAATACCGAATAGCGGGAGATACTGTTATATTGGGGGCTATACATAAACGTGGACCCATACCTACAATGTTTCGCCACCGGAGCTAAATTCCATTATGATCCACAAATACAAATTTTTAGACAAATCTGTGGAAAAATGTGGAAAAAATCATTTAAATAATGAATATCGTACCTCCCGATTATATGGGGGATATACAAAAACATAGACCTATGCATACAATGTTTCGTCACTGAAACTACAACCCATTATGACCACCAAATACCAATTTTTAGACAAAATCCGTGAAAAAAATGTGCCGGAAATCATCAGAATACCGAATATTGGGAGGTACTGTTATATGGGACCTATTCCAAAACGTGGACCTATACATACAATGTTTCGCCACCGAAGCTAGAATCCATTATGTCCTACAAATACCAGTTTTTAGACAAATCCTTGAAAAAATTTGCCAAAAACCATCAAAATATCGAATATTGGGAGGTACCGTTATATGGCGGCTATACCTAAACGTGGACCGATATATCTCATTTTCAATACCAATTATCCTAGACACAATAGAAATTGTACTGCCAAATTTTGAAGCTCTACGTCAAATTATGTGGGATGTATCGAGATTTCAACAGACAGACAGAAGGACGGACGTCGTTAAATCGACGAAGAATTTTGTGCTGATTATTGATATATACTTTATGGGGTCTACGACGAATATTTAGGGATGTTACAAACGGATTGACAAAGTTAATATACCCTCCTTTTTAAGGTGGAGGGTATAAAAATATTGGAATTTCAATCTAATTTTTTTTATTTTTTTTTTTTTGACATTTTATTTATTTATTTATTTTTTATTTTTTTTTTTTTTTTTTTTTTTGATATTTTTATATATTTTTTATTTTTTTTTATTTATTTATTTGTTTTTTTTTTTTTTGATATTTTTATTTATTTATTTTTTTTTTAATTTTTTATTAATATGACCATTTGCGAAAATATCTGTCTCATTGATATTTATTTTGTTCAGCTGTAATAAAAAAATTTAAAAAAAAATGAAACTGTTCAAACATCCAGAAATTTTTCAATTCAATTTTTGCCTCCTCAACGGCCATTTAAAGCCGTAGCAAATTATATCCCAACTCACAGGAGAATACGCAACGAAAAAATCCCTTGGCCACTATACGTTTCCAAACCTCGAAATGTTTTTTTTTTTTTTTTTTGTTTTTCATTTTCTGTTTTTGCTCCACATTTTTTATTCACCAGAGTTATGAAGCGAATGAACGAACATCCGCATCCGTTTAAAGTGTTGTTTGCTTTAAAAAAAATATTCGCTTGTTGCTGATAACCAGCAACCAAGTGGTGGAGTGCAGTGCGAATTTTTTATATGAATGTGTGTCTGTGTTTGTTTTTTTTTTTTTAATATGGACGTTGTTATCCAGGCACCATCAGGCATCAAAATGAACAGAATATGAATAAAACAGAAAGGACAACAAGAAATAGGCCTACAACTCATACACACACACACAAACGCACACAATCTACTCTGCTTCAGCACATGGCCTACCATTTGTTCACAACGCATCGTGGTAGGCAGCATTTAAAACGAGATATACAAGTGCTCGACACCAGCAGCAGTGGCGGCGGCGGCAGCAGCGTTAACGAATGAACAACATATCACAGGCTCGGCGACCTAGTTTATTTTGATAGTATTTCCTTCGTGTCATATTCGTAACTTCACATGTAACTCAATATGAGGGTATGACTCTGTGTGTGTGTTTCTTTTTATAAAAACACACACGCACACCAACATATTTCATGATGGGCCATTTTAATAAAACAAAAAAAACTACTTGAAAAGCATCACTTCAACCCCGCAACCTGCCCAGCATCCTGCAGGACCAAGACCATTCTTCTATATGTAAAATACCTGTTGGAAAATTCGCAATTTAAACTTCAAAATTTATTATCTCATTCAAAAACCTTTTGGAGACTTGGGCTCTCTCTCACAAACACTCTCTCTCTCTCATTGTCTTTTTAATTAAATCACCAATGCCATGCAAGGCGCAGGCCTTGGAAAAGCTACAAGTTATTCATAGTTGCTTTTGTTGTCTTACCTTGTTTCTTTTATTTTTGCAAAGAAGCAACAGTCTAACAATTACTCTCCCTCTCTCTCTCAGAGAGGAAATGAACCCGATAATGATGATGATGTCCTTATCAGACTGCTCATTGGTGGCGTCGTTTATATGTGATTTGTTTCTTCGTCTTTTGCCTCCACTTCCTCCTTCTTCATCGTCTTCTGCTGACATCAAGTGGCCACCAAAATATGTTGTTGTTGGTATTGTTGCTGCTATTTCTGCTGTTACTGTTGGTATGATTATGATGATGCTGTTGCTGCTCCGTCTAGTAACCTACCCGTTGCACATTAATTATTGATGATAGTTGGAGAAAAAAGAGAAGCAACAAAAAAAACAACAACTTTTCATTCCGCTATGAAGCAACAATAACATTGCAATTGTTGTTATTCGTTTGCCTCGCTCAACAACTCGCATGGTTTTGAAAAGTAAGGTTAACATTGATTTCCAGTTTAAATAGAACAATGATAATAGTTGAGGAGGCTTTAATAGGGTGTTTCATGGACACCCTCATGGCGCAATAATAAGGTGTTACATAGATCAGATCATGGTAGAAGAATACAGGTAGTGGCATCGACATAACTGCTGGGACAATGATTTGTCAAACCAATTTAGAATTGAATATTTTGAATGAAAAATTATTAAAATTTGTAAAAATTGTTGAAAAATGCATATCATTACAACCTCCGATTTGCGTCGTATAACATATAAAAATCTACTATTTTTGAAAAGACATTTTCAAAATTTTGACATATCAATGTTCGCAAGCGTTGATGCATGGATCAGACGAAATGTCAAAATTTGTTTATTGTGATTCCAATAACAATAAGTGTTTTGTTAAGTCATCTAAATGATCGGAGTCAGTAACTATTAATTGTGCCAGGGACACCTTATTCCATAAATGAGAATATTAATATAACCACTCTCTGGACTGTCAATTCGTTCATAAAAACTCTCTTGACTGCCTGCTTGTATTTGTCGAACTTCTAGACTATGAAGTATCCGAGGCTCCAGCTCATCTAAAATGACTCTGCGAGCTTTCAAATCGACCCTAAATAAAGTCTCCCTAAAACTTGACTACAAAGACCTAAGAACTCAATTTGCCTATAAAACTTCAACTGGCCCAATAACACTCTCCGACTCTCTATCTAACCTCGGATCTTTCGCCACCTCTGTAACGAGGTGCTTGTATTTGTCGAACTTGTTGACTATAAAGTATCCGAGGCTCAGGTCATCTAAAATGACTCTGTGTGCTTTCAAATCGTCCCTAAATAAAGTCTTCCTAAAACTTGACTACAAAGTCTCCTAAGAACTCAATCTGCCTAAAAAATTCTCTTAGCCTTCAACTGGTCCAATATGAATCTGCGACCCTCTATCTCACCTCTGAGCCTTCGCCACCTCTGTAACAAATTTTCTGAGTTTTCAGGTCAACTTTACTAGTATGATTTAAAAGTTCCAAAATTATAATTATACCTGTTGAACTCATGAATTCCCAAGTAGTTTAACCATTAGTATGGTAACCCTATGAATTTTGTATGTATACGGCAACATTGTCTTTCATGTTTTTCTAGAAGTTTCTGAGCTTTTTGTACCCTCCACCTTGAAAAGGTGGGTATATTTACGTTGTCAATCCGTTTGTAACATCCACAAATATTCCTTAAAATTCTAAGTCGATTTAAAGATGTCCGTCTGTCTGTCTGCCTTTTGAAATCACGATACAGCCCACATTATTTGACGTGGAGCTTAAAAATATGACACAACAATTTGTATTGTGTCTAGTATGGTTGGTATGGAAAATGAGATATATCGGTCGACGATTTGGTATAGCCACCATATAAAGGTACCTCCCGATATTCGGTATTTTAATGATTTTTGCCACATTTTTTTTCACGAATGTGTCCAAAAATTGGTATTTGTAGGTCATAATGGATTCCAGCTTCGGTGGCGAAACATTCTACGTATAGGTCCACGTTGTTTTATAGCCCCCATATAACGGTACCTCCCGATATTCGGTATTTTGATTATTTTTGCCACGTTCCTCTTCTACATCTGACCTCGTATAAGTCTATTAGATCCTTTAACTTGTTTATGAAAATTAAAATATACGCGCCATTCTCCTCTTTAAATTGCCTCTAGAGGCCTTCAGAGTTTTTATTTTGACTATAGAATCATAGAACCCATTTTAATATATCTGAGTTGTCAGCTCAATTAAAAATAGTTTCTGATCCTTCCTTTAATCTATGAAGACTCTCTTAGCTCCATTATATTCCCTAGTTGCATATATTTCAACTATTTGAGGTTATCTAAAAAAACCCTTTAGTATGTCAATAATATCCCCTTCAATGTAAAAAATCTCAATTTAAATTTATTTTAAACCCCTCCATCCTAATACAAACTTTTATCTACCTTTAAATGCTGTTGAATTAAAACTCGGCGCACACACACATTCACAGGTTATTTGGCCATACATTGTGTCAAGGTACAAGGATAAATATGTACAATTTATTAACACGTGAATTTCGAAACGTTTTACCAGGCTAAATTCACACATCTACACAAAAAAGAATTCCACAATCACTTGTTTTGAAACCTTGTAGAGCACAGAGCTCTGATGGATGGACACGAGGTAAAGGTATTATCGTTGTCGTATAGTAATTACTCTATTAATATTTTAGGAGTAGTGCAACAATAATGGGCAAAAGGAAGACAAAATTGACTCCACTTAGAAAAGTTGAAGCCACACCACTTGTAGGGGAAGTTGTATTATGTGGCTTGTAAGCCTGGCCAGACATCGCTGTCATCACAGGCTCATCTAGATTGTGGGTATTCTGCACATAATTATAATAGTTAGCCCATATGCCAAATGTCAAGAGATCCTGTTGAGGCGAAGTCAATACCATTTCAATACGGATTGTATTGTTGCTGCGAAAAGAAAACAAATATTATTAAATTAAAAATTATATATTTTAGTATATCTTACCCCTCCACTTCCAACCACTCATAATTATCTACACTCAATGGCATCATTACAGCATTCACGGTACTGGGCATGATGGCACGTCTACTTGCCTTTGCGAAGTTACCAGTTATATTAATTCTATTAAAATAATATTTATTTCCCACAACAACATTTTCGGGGAATATATGGCCACAGGTATACAACTCCGAACCCGTGCACGTAATCAAAGCACACACACTTTGATTGCTGTTATCAATGCGTTGGAAAGTTGTTTCATTACCACTAAAGGCAGCCAATCTATAACGATAGGCCTCATGTTGAGCGGAGTCCTGTATGAACTTGCGCTCCACATCAAAGTGGCAACAGAAATTGTTGTGACACACGGATTCTTTGGTATTGGTAAAGTTTTCCTCTAACAATTTGGTGGCAAAAATATCCACATTATAATCTCGTAGCAACGACATTTTCGTAAAACGTGGTGTCTCCAATTGAGGCGTGAATAAAGGTTTAACAACCGTCGGCAATTGATAGCTGTTGCGTGCATTACGTTTGGGTACCTTGGCTGTTAGCAGTTTTAATGTTGGTTCTTCGTGTATTGTAGCTGTTAGGCGACCCAGACGACCTGCATAGATACCCGAACCGGTATTTTGTCCCTGGGGATAACTGGCATCGGCAGCCAAAAGGTTAACATTGTTGGCAAAGGCCCAACCTTCTTGGAGTTGAACGGCTGCAAGGAAATTAAAAGTAGACAAATGAAATCGATTTGAAATTTTACAAAAACATTCTCCTATATTTTCGGAAAAAATATATTTCTACAGTCCAGATCGAAGATCTTTAATTTAATAAATAAATGAATTGATATCTACTCACATAAAAAGTCACCCAGAATGTATTTTTTCAACTAAATGCCATTTTGCCTTCATGCTAAGTCTCATACATGATAGAGGAGTAGAGGTAGTCGCATCGACGCAGCTGCTGAGACAATGAACTGTTAAACCAGTTTTGGAATGAAAAATTATTGAAATTTGTAAAAATTGTTGAAAAATTATATCAAAACAACAAATCTCGACATATCAATGTTCCTAAGCCTTGATGCATCTACCTGTATTCTTCTACCATATTCTCATACCAATTTATTCCTACATTTTATAAAAAGTATCAGGATAATGTAACCCTCTTATAAGTTATGACGATTGTCATCTTAATAGACTCGTCTATTTTCTCTATATCTTCTATCAAATTTCCATTGTATGCAGCCACCTTCCGATAATCTCTAAAGATGTCCAACCACCTTTCATTCAAAGAGTCACATCTAATCATAATTTTGTCTTATACTTCTATTTTTCATTTTCTGCTTGATATCCCATATGTATCTCCAGTTATAAGTAAAGCTGCGTATAAAAATTCCTTTCCAATCGACCCTTTTCTATTCACACCTCTTCCACCACTTACCTGTTAAAAATGGCAATTCCGAAAACCAATATGTTGGATATATAATATCCGTTATATTCAAACGATCAATTAAAACCTTGGCAGGATTATAGAACAGCATATCGAAACATATGAAATGTCCAAAGGTTACACCGAAATCGGTGGTAAATGTTGCCAATTCCGGTTCCGCCAAAACATTCGTCGAACGCCATTCGTAGCGATATAAATGTGTTTTACGATAACGCGATATGACACGACCCTGACGATCCAATACTACATTGGTGTTGTAGATTTCCACACCATTGTTGCAATTCGCCTGCATTGAATTACACTTAACCTTTTCAACTAAATTTAGAACGACATAAAGATTACGACTGCGAGCGGCACACGAAAGTTCGGTTAGAAACCAATCATAATTGGCCAATTCACAGGGTACAATTTTATCATTGGGATCTGGAACATATGTCAACATATCCATGTTATTCAGAACATATTCGGGGAAAACTAAAATGTCCAGATTTTGTGTTGCATCCGATTCGATAATGGATTTCATGCGTTCCATGTTGTCTTTGACCTTTGCCTTGGGCGATCCCTGCATGGCAGGAGGAAATTCCACAACACCAGCATTGTATGTGGGATCCGAGGGCAGGGATATCTGTTAAATAGAAATATATAAACAAAATTAGTCCTTTTTTTTTTTGATTATTTTAAATTCCAAAATGTTATCCTTACCTGTTGTGATCCTTTTATTGCTGTTACAGCTATAAGGTATGCCAATAAAATCCGTTCCATTCTGTCCTGCAGTCTTGAATATACTACCATGTCGATGTGATATTTGTTAGCACAATACTTTTGCTTTCGAAATTTGAACTTCGTTATAATTCCAGATTAAATAAAATAATAAAAAATTATCTTTATAGGCTGTTAACATCAATATTTAAATGCATGATTTTCCTTTCTTATTCACCCCCCATTAGGTTTGAGACCATCCCATAAACGAAGAATTATTGCGGAATTTCAAAAGATTGAAATGATCTTCGTAAAGACGACTCTTATCTTAAATGAATTGCATATAGAACGTGCCTTATTTATATACAAATTATGATGGAAAAAGCAACAACAAAACAAAATAGATAAACCCGTATTCGAAAATTTCTAAGTAGAATTTGTTGTATCTTCTTCACAAAAATAATAGGATGGTAACAATTTTTCAGATTAGAAAAATAGTTGATTGTATTTTAGAGTTAAAATTGAATTTCCAATAATTTATATATTATAATAAATATCAAATTACTGTTTTTATGACTAAAAATATATAATTTTGTCTATGCGGATCTTTAATAAATTCATCCATCTATTCTTCCAATTTGACTTACAAGCGAATACCCTGATCTACAACTGATTCAACTTTCGTCTATGAGGATAGACTTTGATCATCTATTTGTAAGGACCCCACATACTGGCCTGAAAATAACCCCTTTACTGCTGTCAAAAATTATCTGGAATCTGCCTCATATTGCGATCTACAAATAATAATTTTGTGTGATCTAAAATATTATTTTCAAGTATTTAAAAAAGCAATGAAGTTATTCCTTTTAAGGTCTATGTAGTATAGCCATATACCAATAGCCTGTGAATGTGACATAAAGTTATATTTACAAATTAAAGTTATAATTCTCCATTTTGGTAGTCTGTCTATAGCCTTTGATAAGTAATGTACACACCCCATTAAATGCAACCATCATGAAATGATAGTACATATCAAAAAACTTGTTTTTAATAATAAACAAATACATGTAATAAAAAGTCATTATCAACAAGTAAAACTGAAACATATACGGAAAACTAATACTACTGATGATGATACTGGCTAGAGAGGAACCTTCACAGGGTGAATGCCAAATTGTTAGTACGTGTTTTACCATGTCTTCTCTAATTTTTTGTTGCTGTTTGTTTGTAACCGGAAAACAAGCAACAGTTTTGTATTATTTCCGCTTAAATGATTGCTTGTCTTCCGGCTATTTTCTGCACACACATACATACATATACACTCTTGCGCACACAGCAGCAAACATTTACTATGTGAAACACTGACGATACTGCTGCTACAAATATAAAAACAAATCCTTGTTGTTAAAGAACACCAGCTGCAATGTCACTAGCCTTCGCAACATATCACACTATTTTTTTATACTCCTCTTTCCTTCCTTCTTCCCACCCGACAATCAAAGAAATTTATCTATAATATTATAGTCACGTAAATGTAATTTTCTCGCATGAGTTTTAGGTTGTTTTTGCGACAGGATGCCAATGATAATTGGAGCATATGTAGTACAATTTTAAGTAATGCTCAAATCAAATGGTGTTCCCCTAAACGGAAATATGAAAACAACTATGTACAACTAGCTATCGAAGCAATGGGAATACAAACACTTCTACAACACTGAGACCATTTCAATTGATCAATTTCAAAAATTTGATTTTTTAGGCCATTTAAATTTTAACAGCTTTTAGCTGTTTTTAATTGAAAGGAAATATCCGTGCCACCTTGAACTTTTGATTGAATGTTACATTTTTTTATTGAAGAAAATAGTTTGTATTTCATTTTTCAATTAGTGTCAAATATGCAATAGCACATACTCAAATAACTTAAACTAATAAAAAATACAATTAAAATGTAATTTCTTCTTACTTTTTTTGGAGAGAGTGATATAAAATACAAAAATAAAATAAAAACTAAGAAATTATTCTGTTATTGCTGCATCATTTAAATCATTTTCTACTTCCTCTAGCACCTCTTGGGCAGCTTTGGCAACATCCTCGGATACATCTTCGGCAGCGGCTAAGGCCGCAGCCGCTTCTCTGGCCTTTTCATATTTGTTGACCTCTGAAAGTAGCACAAAAAATTAGTAACCCGCTTTATCCAACAGCCATTTTACAACAACATACCAAATTTACTAATATCAGCACCAAGTAAACGTAAAATATGCAAGGTTTCACTGCTATCTACATAGGCACGTAAACTAGAGGTTCCACGCCAGCCAACAATGTGCAAGGTAAAGCGTTCATCGCTATACTTCAAAATGCAGCTACCCACACCTAGAAGAAAACCAACAAAGTTTTGAAAATAACTCAAAAAATTAATAAAAATACTCCAACTTACTTAGCTCTTTACACCTTTGCTGGGTGGCCTCTTTCAGCTCCAAGGTCGAGGGAGGTTTTGTGGGATCTGTACAATTCAATTGTAAAATTAAATCCTCCTTTTCCACCACAATACGACGACTGGATCCGACAAAGGCATTTGTTGTTTGCAGACCCTCCTGAGCCAAACGGAATGGATGTTGGGTATGGCGATTTTCACAGCGTACAAACGATTTGACGCCTGTATTGATGATCTTTATATTGTCTTCATTGAGTAATACCAAGTCACGAATCAATTCCGAACAATAGTAAATATTTTTCTTTTTCTCTGTGATACAACGGGTTAACAGACAACGGCTGTTGAATGAGTCATCCAATTCATAGAATTTCTTGATTTCCAACCAATCGGCATCGTTTTCTTCAAAGAAAACATAGGGATCTTCTTTGTAGCCATGAAGACGTCTACGTTTACGTTGGGGACCCCAGGGTACGGATTTTTCCTCAATTGGTTTTCCCTCAGCATCAACTTTTACTTCGGGCTTTGGTTTTTCCAACAAGTCTTTAACGTCATTTTTCTCAAAAGGTAATTGGGCTTTTTTCTGTAGAACGGCTACGAAAAATCCACCAGAGTTTTGAAGGTGAGGTAAGACACGAATACTAAAAAAATGATACCATACATAAATACAACAACCACAAGGATACCATTTCCTGCAACTCACCATTTCTCTAAACCATATTTCTCAATATCGGGCAATGGGAACATGTTGGGTCTAATTATGGTGTGATATTTTTCAGGAACTTCCTCAAAGTTATTGTAGGTTTCATCAACATCTTTGGAAGCCAATTTCCATTTGGTCATACCAGGTATATATTTTAATCCAGGCACTAAGTGTGAAGCGTCTACTATTTCTAAAGCTCCATTGGAATCGGCAATAATACGTTGCAACACAGCCTCATTTTCAATGGGATTCAAGGAACAGGTGGAGTACACCAAACGACCACCAACCTCCAACATTTCGGCGCCACGTCTGGTGATACAATACTGTACTCTAAAAACATGCAAAGGTTTATTTTAAATTACCAACTGATATCAAAAAACAAAATTACCCATGCAAATTATATGCTTGTCCCAAATTCCATTTTCCCCAAATATCAGGGTTCTTACGCAGGGTTCCATCTCCGGAACAAGGAACATCACAGAGGATTTTGTCAAATTTCAAAATAGATTTGGTGCCATCACTTGTGGATTGCTGGAAAGATAATAATTTGCAAAGAACTACTACAAAATAGCATGCTTCCAACTTACCAACAAATTAGGGAAGAATGCACTGTCATGATTGGTAACAACAAAGCAAGGCGAATTCAAACGCTTGGCCTGATGCACCAACATATAGCAGCGATTATTGTCCACATCATTAGCCAAAACAAAGCCAGGTGGGATTTTATATTTTTCGGGCTCAGCATGCAAGGCCTCAATCAATTGAGCAGTCTTTGAGCCAGGTGCGGCACACATATCCAATACCTTATCTGTGGGCTTTACATCCAAGACTAGTGGGGGAATCATAGATACAGCCTCTTGGCGACTGATGGCACCCGCATTTGTCTCATTAATAAGGAAATTGTGCAAGCGATACAGCGGTTCCGACCTTCTAATGTCTTTGCGGGTCAAATCCAACTGATATGCCATACCATTTGGATACCAAGGTAAACATAATGGCTTTTCAACCTCTTCCACTGATTTTCCTCGCAACTCAGCCACACCTTTCAAGTATTCCGTGAAGAAATCTTTTTCAATTATGTCCAGCAAAGCCTTGGCTTCACCCTTGAATCCCGTCACGCGGAATGTTGCCGGTAAATTGTCACGAATGGAGGCCAAAAACTGTTGCCACTCTTGTTCGTCGGCACATATATTTTGCATGTGATAATACTTTAGGAAGGCTTCATTGTCACGCACAATTTCCTCATATGGTCCTTGGGGACGTGTGTCTTTTCCTTGCTATAAACGGAAATAATGCAACGTTAAGAGTGGACATAAACAATGATGTTCCCACAAAACTATACTTACATTTTCACGCCTTTGACGTTTTTTGGCAGCAAAAGGATTAGCTTTACCTTTACGACCCATATCTAAATTATTTTTCTTATTTTTCACACAAAAAACAAAACCAAAAGACACAAATGACAGGCTGTTTTCCTCCAAAAACCGAATTCACACGTGTGGCGGGATAGGGTTTTGAAGGTCGACTTTCATCCAAAGACTTGTTGCAGTTTCACAGCATTCAGCTTACAATCGATTTCTATATCCCTAAGGCAGCCAGTCAATTTGTAGAGCCCTTCCTTAACGTTTTTGTTTTGATTGCTTATCTTTATTTATCGTTCTCTTTGTTGTTTTCTTCTTCAAAACTAGTTAAATTTTTTTTCAGTGAACCATTTCATTGAACACTTTATTCCTCGAAAGCGGAGTCCATTGCAAAGCCCAAGAAATAAACAAATTTCCAAGAAATGAAACAGAAAACGGATATTGACGAGGATGTCTCATCCATATGCGAGTCTACGGTAGGTTTAAATCCATAATTGTTGTTTTGAAATCAACTTAATCCAATTCCCACTTTAGGCCTCCTTGACGGAAGGCTGTAGACTTTCTGTGCGAATGCACAAGACAGACGATTGGCCACTGGCCGAGATAGTTAGCATAAAGGAACACGATGGAAAGCGACAGTTTTATGTTCATTATGTGGATTGTAAGTATAAATGAATATATATATCCAACATCTGCTACTAAAGGTACTTTCCTCCAGTTAACAAACGTTTGGATGAATGGGTAACTGAGGAAGATCTGGATACACGAAAGGTGCAATTTCCCAGACGTGATGGCACCCAGACAGGAGCCAGTACTGGGGTAACAACACCGAAAAAATTGCTTTCGGTGACTGGTAGTGCATCGCGACCAACTTCCCCACAACCTGGAGCTGGTGAAGTGGTTAATGGTAATGCGGTTCTAGCAGCTGCTTTGCAAAAGAAAATTAACCGCAAACGAAAGGTTGATAAAGTCGGTATGCTCCCTCATAAAGTTGCTTCCTGTGTTGCTAATTTTATATTAATTGCAGATTATACCAACGCCTTTGCCACCAGCCCCTACAGTAGTTCCCGAAAGTACACCGGCAGCGACAGCAGTTGTGGTGCCAGTCAACGAAGAGGTCTCTCAAGATGGCAAAAGTGCCACACCACGCCAATCCGGCAGTATGGTCAGCATACATCAGGACGATGTAGTGACACGTATGAAAAACATAGAAATGATAGAACTGGGCAAACATCGTATCAAACCTTGGTACTTCTCACCTTATCCCCAGGAAATTTGCCAAATGCCCTGCATCTACATCTGCGAATTTTGCTTGAAATATCGCAAAAGTCGAAAATGCCTAGAACGACACTTAGTAAAGTGCAATCTTCGTCACCCGCCTGGCAACGAAATATATCGCAAGAATACGATATCTTTCTTTGAAATCGATGGACGCAAAAACAAGGTTTATGCCCAGAATTTATGTTTACTAGCCAAACTTTTCCTTGATCACAAGACTTTGTACTATGACACAGATCCCTTTCTGTTCTACGTAATGACAGAGTACGATAGTAGGGGTTTCCACATAGTTGGCTACTTCTCCAAGGAAAAAGAAAGCACAGAAGATTACAATGTTGCTTGTATTCTCACAATGCCACCGTATCAACGCAAGGGATATGGAAAGTTGTTGATTGAATTTAGTTATGAATTATCCAAATTTGAGGGAAAGACGGGATCTCCGGAGAAACCACTTTCCGATTTAGGTCTACTTTCGTACCGGTCTTACTGGGCCCAAACAATACTGGAGATATTTATTAGTCAAAAGCCAAACAGTGATGGGGAGAAACCCACAATAACAATTAAGTAAGTCGGCGCAATAATCGTATGAATACCTTTAAACGAAAATTTTCTATATTTCAGTGATATTTGTGAGGTGACTTCAATTAAAAAGGAAGATGTCATATCCACATTACAAAATCTCAACCTGATCAACTATTATAAGGGCCAATACATTGTCTGCATAAATCGTGAAACCATTGATCAACATAAAAAAGCCATGGAAAAACGCAAAATCCGTATTGATTCAAAATGCCTGCACTGGACACCCAAAGACTGGTCGAAACGTTCAAAGTGGTAAATGTCTGAAGTCATCTTTAAACTTCTTCTCAACTCCCTCTACCACAAACTCCTTTTTTAAACCCCCCCATCATTTTTTCTTCCAACTCATTTACATATTTCATTTCATTGATTTATATTTCTTTCATTCTCTTCATTGTTTGTAGAAAGAATATCAGCGCATTCCCCCTAACATAATCCTGGCTGGCAATCGAAAAAACAGACAGTTCTCTAACACGCAATCTAACCGCTTTCTGGTAGAGAAATAAAAAAAAGTAGAAATTAACTCAAAGTTGTTTTAATTTTCGATTTCATGCATTCTAAACAAGTTAGAGAAATTCTCCATATCTAGTTCTTCGGTGAAAAGATCCAAACTTTGATTTGTTCCATTGTCAATGGCCGCTTCCGTTGACTCAATGGAAGATTGTATGGCCTTTGTGGCCACCTTTAAATCGTTCATTTCCATACGCAATTGCTTAAGATTTTCATGTTTATTTCCGGATGATAATAACTTCTTGAACTTTTCCAATTCATTTTTATCTATATAATCTGTGGCACTGCCACTGTTTAATTTATCCTTTATGTTGGTTGCATCCTCCATGGCTTTGGCAAGATCCATATTATCTGCCAAGCTATGTCCCTTCAGCACACGACGAGTGGCAGCCTTTTTGAGGAGTTCCACATAGCGCGAATACATGTGGGTATATTCTTGACGTCTTTTCTGATAGATTTTGTAGGCCTCTTCGATTTTTTGCATTGCAGCAGCTTCATTCTCGGTTTTGCGTTTCAACGCTTCCAAATACAACAGCATATTAATATCATCTAGGTTGTGATGCTGCTGAGCCGCTGTAGCAGATGCCGACGTTAGGCTGGAATTTGGTTTGCTTTTGGTGGGTGTTGATGGGGTAGCAAAGGACATTTTAGCAAAAGATATCGAGCCTTCGTTGAGCAATTGAAAATAAATGAAAATTGCGGGGCAAATGGCGCAACTGTTTTTATTGTGAATTGTCAACACAGGGAACTATGCATGCAGAAGCTACTTGCTGTGAAAAAGTTAACTTTAGTTGTTTCTAATTAGTAAACAACGTAACGTACACATACATCAGCCGACGTTACTAATCATGTAGTCATGTCAACCTTGCGTGGATAGGTGCAAACTGAAATTATAAAAAATTATCTCCATCAGGTTGTCATATTCAATTAATCATTCTACGGCCCACTTAGGTTTTTTCTGTGGGCCATTTTATTGCATTCGATATTCCAAAAAAAATTATGGAAATGAATTTAATTTCATTAATCATTTCCGTAGAAAATATATCGAATGTGAGAGCTGAGTCAAGGTTATGATGTACAGAATTCCTAAAGCCATAACCGTATTTATTCCCAGCCAATCTATACCAAGACATCTAATACAAATCACATATATGCTAATATTAATAAAATTAAATGTATTTTAGCAAATTTAAATTGGATAAAAAATGAAATACAATAAAAATGAAAAATCCAACAAATTTGTCAGACAAATGGATATGAACTACACATAGGTATACAATAGATAGATAAATAAATAATAAAAATGTATCTCCACGCTTTTAGAATTCACCAAAGTCGGGTAAATCATCCATCATTGAGGGTGGCAAGTCCATTAATGAGGGCGGAGGCATCTGGTGTTCAGGCTTCATATCTTTTTCTAGACCACACTCCCATTTGGACCAGCCGAAATCAAGAAGATCCTCACAACCAGAATCATCTGAATCACAATATTTTAAGTTCTCATTTTTGTCACATACTTCCTCCTCTTCGGTATCGCCATATGCACTTTGTATAAGATTGTCAATCATGGAATCATCAAAAATATTTTCGTACCATATTTGACGATCACCTGCAATAACAATTAAAAACAAAATTAGAGCTACCGACATTTTGAAAATCAAATTGACTTGCCTTTGTGGGGCTTAGCACAACAGCTGGGAGCAAAATCAAAATAGTCCAACAATTCTATCTCAGCTTCATCACATTGTTTGGATTTTACTTTGGGAGTTTGCTTTAGAGACTTGATTGGTTGCTTTTGAATTGTTGGACGAAGCTCGGTACATTTCTGGGGCTTGTTAATACGCACTTCGTCAAATTTCAAAGACTTGGGTTGCAATTGATTGTGTATGACATTTTTTAGCTCACCAAATGCTTGCTTCTTAATAGTATGCTTGCGAGCATTGTCCATAATATTTTTGGAGGCATGGAAAGTATCTGAAATAGAAATATCTTACTTTATTATTTGTTCACAATTTTATTAATTTACTTACTTTGGTTTTCATTATTTATTTGAAAATCGGTCTTGTAGTTCGCCATTTTGTGTATTTGCGCCAATCAATTTCTTCTTCAACAGCAATTGAAAATGTCCCGCTTCGATGAAATGATTTCTGTGCTGTGACTGAATAGGGGTTCGTAGATCGATCATGGAACTTTTTACATTCACCATGAATTGGTAACTTGGAAACATGGAACTACAGCTCTGTTCCTCTACATACCTGACACTTGAAGTTTGGAAAATTTTTGCTTAAATTAGGAGAGCAGACTTCTAAAAATATATTAAGAATAAGAATATATTAACTGTTGGGGAATAAGTATTAGACTTTTCTTCCTTCAAATACATAAATGTGTCATGCAACAATTGGTTTTATTTTTTTAACATTTTATGAAATTAAGAAAAATAAAGAATAAATGGAATACCAAGTTCACACATAATCAATTTCAAACTAGGCATTCTATTTTTAACCAAAATGGAAAATATACGAATAGTAAAAAGTATTCAAACATGTTTTGAAAGAGAAAATGCGTTCCAAAAGAGGTTAAAGCATTTGGGTGCTTTATAATTGTAACCTTGCAATTATTGAACCAGTATACATGGTATATATTAAAATTCTTTCATATTGTGTGCTGTTTTCATGTGTAGAATTTTTTTGACAATACGTGTAAATCAGATGTCCTGATAGATAGGTAGTACATTTTGTTATGATGGAAAATTTTTTCTGAATATTATTACCCAGTCCAGTACCTGCAAAAATCTACTATTTTGGTAATTTTCTTAGATATTATAAAGGGAAAATCGGCTATCATGCAGATCTGGAACAGGCCATATATTTATTCGTTGCTTTTTTTATTTTCCAAGTTTCAGAAATAGTTTTACGTTTCTTTTTTAAAGGACCAAAAGAGTAAGATACGAATTTGTATTGTATGATAACAAAGCTTTAAACAGTTATTTTTAACTTATTTTTATATAATATATTTTTACACAATTTCCGAGAGATTCCTATTTTAAAATATTTTTATTATATTAATTGAGAATGTTGTCTGTGTGATTGTTATACATACACCTTGCGTATTGTGCCAAGGTGTCTAATGTCACATATACAAAAGCTACCAACTGTGAAAGTATGCACTTCGCATTGATATCTCTTCAGAATAAGAAGAAGAGCAACGTTGTCAATTTCTTTTTGCAATACCATTGATTTTGCTTAACTCGTGGCGTAGAAATTTGGTGATTTTTTTGTGTAAATTTGATTAATAACAATAAGGTTTGTTGTTAAAATATAGTGCAAACTGTGAAAATGTCGCTAATGTATTTGTTTTTACACAAAATTTCAATAGATGCCTGCACCTGACATTAAATCTTCTTGGGCTGATGAGGTTGAGTTGGATTACGGCGGTCTGCCACCACCTACCGAAGTGATAGAGAATGGCTTCAAGTACGTCACAGAGTATAAATACAACAAGGATGACAAGAAAACTAAGGTAGTACGCACATATAAAATCACCAAGGAAGTCGTACCCAAGACAGTGGCCAAGAGACGTACTTGGGCGAAATTTGGCGAATCCAAGAACGACAAACCCGGACCCAATTCTCAAACCACAATGGTGGCTGAAGAAATCTTTATGCAAATTCTCAACACCAAGGAGGAAGAAAAGGCCAATGACAATTTGTTGGATCTGACCAAAAATATTGCCAAGTGTCGTATTTGTAACGGTGAGCATTGGTCCGTCAATTGTCCCTACAAGGGTACGTCCATGGACACGAATCTTATGGAGAAGAAGGCCTCGGCTGCCGCTGCTGCTGCCACGGAAGCACCCAAACCCGGCAAGTATGTACCTCCATTCCTTAAGGACAGCCAAAAAGGTGGTATGGGTGGTATTCGTGGCCGTGATGATACCGCTGCCATTCGTATTTCCAATTTGTCCGAGTCCATGACCGAACAGGATTTGGAAGAACTTATCAAGAGAATTGGCCAGCATACCAAGATGTATTTGGCACGCGACAAAAACACCGGCCTCTGCAAAGGTTTCGCCTATGTTCATTTCCGCCAACGTAAAGATGCCGCTGCTGCCATCGAAATTCTTAATGGTCATGGTTATGATCATTTGATCCTTAGCGCTGAATGGTCGAAACCCCAAAATAACTGATACACCATTAAAGATTCCACAACAAGTAGCACTTACAACAACAGTAAACAAAATTGAAGGAAAGAAGAGAAGAGAGGAAGTGAAGTAATTAATTTTTTATATATCTAAACAAGATTTTTGTCTTCTAATTTATAGCGACCAAAAGAAAACAAAATTGAGAAATGTTAAATAGTAGTCATTTTCGTTTTCCACATTTGGTTGTCGTAATAAATTATGAATATACTAATAGCATTTTATTAGCTAGGGTTACAATAAAAACTGGTAACCATTTAAAATTTTGCATTTGAAGTTTATTTTTTAGCGCTGAACAAATGTTTGTGTGTTATGTATACTTTGGAATATAGGACTATAAATATTCTAATATTGGGAATCTATTATTAACAATTCGTGTTCTCTATTAATTACAAGTTGATAAAAAAAAGCAGAAGATAGTTGTGGAAAATAACACAATTATTCTTTTAACTTAAAATTTTTAAGATCTACACAGAGAACTAAAAAAATGGACATCGTAGGAGTGTTTTCTGCCTGAATTTAAGATATGAGAGTACTTAACATCTTAATTTTATAGAAAAGTGCAAAAGGATGCCTTTTCTAAGTAAGTTGAGGCCAATGTCCTCATGCAGCATTCATTTAAATGGTATTTTTTATAGAATCCATAAAAATTATGTGTAAAATAGGGAAAGGGAGAGGGTGTTATCATATTTTTATAACGATCTATCTTAATAATACATATGAAGGATCGTCTATTTATTAAAGCTTAACGGATTTTTTCGTCTCCATGAAACCTATAGGAAGACTTGAGTTGCATTATTTTTTCTAGGTCTTCTATACCTACATGTAAAATGTCTTCTGTTTTCGAAGCCCTGTAGAACGTATTGTTTTTTACAAGACTTGTAAAACTTTATTCAATTTAGATTTGTAAAAGATAACCTTTTTCGAAAATATAGTCTCTTATAAACAGATCTGATAAAAGTTTCCTGTTTTTTTTGAATGTCTGGAAAATCCCCATCCTTTGCGAAAGAGGCTTCCTTTCCAGATGAAGAATTCCCCACTTCGGAGTGGAGACCTTAGACTTAAAGTAGGAAGAAGGTTATGAGTGGAAGAGATTTCGTTTATAATATTATCCTGAAACTCACAAGTGTGGATATAATATAATATAGTTTTTAATCTCTGCATTTTATACCCAGGCCGCCTTAAAATATGCCACATAATTTCTTAATTTCATTAATAGCCCATGAAATTCTTATGGGATCGAAATTTTTTTCTTCTTATGACATTTTCTTTGTTAGAATGTGATAATAACCTGTATTTTCCATTCGATGGGTCGTTTATAATGGGATTATTAGATACCCAATTATATCATCTTCAAATTTAATTCCATTCACCTGGAATGATATGACTTTCCTTTGACAATATAAGATTGTGTTTTAAAAAGTTTAACCTGAAATAGATGTAGACAAATTAATCAAAGCCGGTTGGCACACAGAACCACAGAATGCAAATAACATTAGATAAAGCCAGTGGAAAGGAGACACAGCATTTAATTAATTTAAGTTGTTGAGTTATCAGTTTGCAGTCATATGCAAACAGAATAATTTACCCCATTAGACACTTTTATATTAGCTTAATGGTTGGTAATTTTTTAACATGTTTCACACATAATTTCTCTATGCGAATATGTGTATTATTTTATATATGTAACTGTTCATATGAAATAAATTTAAATGTACACGGTTTCAGTTGAACTGTTATCAGTTTTCAGTGATTTGCAAACAGAATAATTTGCCGTTTTAGACACTTTTATAGCTTAATAGTTTGCGATTTTATTTTAGCATGTTTTTCATTTTCATTTATTACGCGAATATGTAACAGCTCATATAAAATAAATTGGATTGTGCACGGTTTAAGTTTTCTTGTTATCAGTTTTCAGTGATTAGCAAACAGAATAATTTGCCGCTTAAGACACTTTTATAATACCTTAATAGTTGGTAATTTTTTAACATGTTTTACACATAATTTCTCTATGCGAACGAATATGTGTATTATTTTATATATGTAACTGCTGATATAAAATAAATTTAAATGTGCACAGTTTATATTTTCCTGTTATCAGTTTTCAGTGATTAGCAGCAATTATTTTTCTGCGATTAACATCGCCGTCGAGAAAATCATTCGCCTTCGTTGTCTGCTCAGACCCCCTCAATCGACCATTATGCCACACACTCTTCCGCAGTCAGACGGATTTCGTTTTATTGCCCATTTGTATTGACCATTCTCTTGTGCCCTCTTATTCGTATCGTTTGGATCGCTTTTTCAAAAAGACGTTAGTCGTTTTTTGTATTTCGTTCGTGGAGGTTGTGCGTTTCCGCCGAAAATACATGTATACTGTCGAAGTTTTCCGGTTAAAACGTTGAAAAGAAAATAAATATCTATTTAAGAAAATATTTTTTAATGTGTGTGCGTGTTTGCACTGTGGATAAGGGGGAAAACTAAAGAAAAGTCAATTGAAAGTGCTCCCGTGTAGTGGGTACGATACGGTTGGTGGTGTGCCGGCATAGGGGTCTTAATCAAAAAGCCCAACAACAACACCGACAAAAGAAGAGATTCAAAAGCGAGTGTATGAAAAAAGTTTTTGTTTCATTAATTCAAATTGCATACACACCAATTTATGCAGACGTTCTATACGCGTGTGTGTCTATGTGCGTTGTTTAATGCATAATGGATCTATGATGGGATCCCATCTATGAACGGACCTGCAAGTGCGTGACAGAGCCATTGAAAAAAACAACAAAATCTAAAAAGTGGGAGCAAAGTGCGTATAAATGTGTGTGCATCGAATGAAAGAAAAACAAATCCACAACAAAAGCAACAACAAAAATAAACAAAAAAGTTATCAATGAATATAAAATAAAAGAATAAATGAATGTGGTGCATGAGAAGAAACAAAAGACCAAAACCCCAACAACGTACGTCGCTCGTTTGTTCACATTCGCGCTCGCCCATCCATTGTTGACAGCGTGGAATGTTTAATAATAAGCAGCAGCAGCAGCAGCAAAAGCAAGCTTGCTCCAACACCAACGTCATATTAAGAGCAGAGCACTGTGTAAGGGAAGGTTGGGAGGAGAGGCAGAGAGGGAGCCACAACACCTCTTAAAACACAACTGACAAGACAAGTTAACTTAAAACAACAGCAGCAACAATAAACAAACACCCAGAACTCACTCGGTCTTGGCTGTAATAAAAACAACAACAACAGCGATTGTCGTATTACAGAACTGTGACAATGACCAGCTGATTGCCTGATTTTTTTTTCGTTTTTTTTTTATTAATTCTTATAATTATCTCCAATATTAATCGAAATATGCAAAGTATTGAATAAAATACCGGCAATGAGTGGGAATTTGTTATTGTTGTCGATTTTAAGCTTAGATTCAATTTTAAATAATTGTCTCAGTGTTGCCGTTTTTTAGCTTGCCCAAGTGGAAATTCGCTGCCGAAAAATTTTCCAAAAGTTAGTCGGTCTTCATAAAGGAGAAGAAGGATCAGGAGAGTCCCTAAAGGCTATTTGAAATCGCATAGGGACTTTTTAGACATGGGTTAGATGAGTTAATATCTTTAAAGATGAGCTGACAGGCCTTTGAAGCAGATTCAGGCAAGTTAAGGCACTTGTGCATTCAATGAGCGTAGTTCTCTCCACACATACAATAAGAACCATTGAAAGAGAGAGAGAGTAACAAAATTGGGAGAACACAAAAGAGCGACTATATGCTTTAAAGCCTTGCTGTTACCCAGTGAGTTTTCACAAATGCCACTGAGCTTATGTGCCTATCAAGAAAATCATTTTAACTGAGTTATTGTTTGGGGAACTTTTAAAGCTCAAGAGTCCTTTTAAGCTTCTGAAGTAGCTGCAGAGCCTATATAATTAAACCTTTGGAAGTTAGTCCGTAAATCATAATGAAGCCTCGCTGAGCTTCAGCTCGTATTTAGAGGTGATTTAAATCCGATAAAGCTCCTAAAAATGCCCTTAGATATCAGCTCGTCCACATAGACCCCTTGAGCTTTTAGTGCGTCTATAAAGGCTGTCGAAGCTTTCATCAGGTATATCGAGTCTTCTGAATTCAGATAAACATTTTAATATTTATTGTTTCAGGAAGAACTTCAAAGGAGATTTATCTCCAGATGTTTTAAAGTAGGTGTACATAGCTTCTAATTTTTCGTCTACGCTCTGAGCTCTTCAATAAAATCACCTCGTCTATAACGACATAATCAAAATGCACCATCTGGACGATCAGCTCTTCAATAACATTCGTTGTTACGGTAGTTTCTTCCTAAAGACTTCGTAAGCTTTCAGCTGGCCATATAGGATCCTTTAGCTTTCTGCATCCCCTTAGCTTTCAGTTGGTATATAAAGACTCCCTGATAGTTAAGCTCGCCAATTAACGTTCTTGGTTTCCGCTTCTCTACCAGAACTCCTGCCTTCGGCTCGTCAAAAAGACTCTGAGCTTCCATCTCGTTTATAAAGACTCGTCTATGAAACTTGAGTTTTTATCTCAACTATAGAGACTCATTCGCCTTTAAAGACTCCCTGAGCCTTCTGTAAAAGCGAGGTGACAGCTCAGCTTGTCTTAGCATGAACGGGGCTCTGGTGGTCTCCATGTAAGTTCTAGATCTCTAATAGAACTCAGGCAACTTCTACAGACATTCTGTCGGGTCAAGGAGTATTTGTAGAGTTTCTGGGCAGCCAGGGATGAAATGAAGTCCATGAAAAGCTCAGCAAAGCTTATACAATAAGCTGAACGTTTACGAAGCCTTTGAAGGGAAATTGAAAGATTTGGTAGCCTCTATAGTACGACTTATGAGATTGGATTTAGTTTCAAAGAGTTGAAGGTTTAAAGGATCGTTATATGCTAACTAAAGCATTCATAGACGACAGGAAGCTCATGTTGTAGTTAAAGGACTTCCAACGCTTCAGATTTTGTCGAAATGTCATCCATGGAGGGAATACCACGAAATGGTATGTTACGAGCCACCTACAGTGACGTCTCAGTCAATACCTATATCGGTAGAGGATGGGATTCTTAATTTCAGGGTCGTGTGATCGGGCTCAAGGTTGGGCACCATATTGCGACGTCTCACAAGGTAGAGGATGAAATTCTTAATTTCAAGTTTGTGGGATTGCGCCCCACGGTAGACTCCCTGAGCTTCCTATAAAGGCTTGGAGCTTCCATCTCATCTTGAAATACTCATTGAGCTCCCATATCGTTTATAGATTCCCTGAGCTTCCAACACGCCTATAAAGACCCATAGAGCTTTCATATCGTATTTAAGCTTTAATTGAGTTTTCATTCGTCTATAAAACTTTGACTTTAAAACCAACCATAAAACCGTTATAGAAATTTTGAGACTTCCTCTTATATCTTCCTCAAAACAGGTCCCTTAAATCCCAAACTTTGACAATCAATTGATTTTTGATCGAAAAACGTGGCAGCTTTAATAATTTGTTTGCTTTAATTGCCGCAACATGTGTTGTGAGAAGAGGAGTGCTGACCGATTAACAAAAGGTTAATTTATAATCAGTTTCCTTTGGAATTTTCAATTCACAGCTGATAGTCGAACTTTTTTGTGTATGGGTTTGTGTGTGTCAGTATTTGCCAGGAGAGTGAAGTCCCCCAGCAAACGAAGAAACAGACAACGAATCTGGAATAAACAGGTTTGTGGGTTATCTCATCAAAGGTAAAAATCTTAATATAACGTGGAGGACTAAGGATGGGGAGAAATTTGGAAGCTTTTTGAGGAATATGGGTTACCGCGTTCAAGATTTCGAATATATTTTGGTAAGATATTTTCTAGGTGACTTACCTGCAATGCCATATTTTTCTCAGAGATATTTTCAGAGGAATGTTAACAAAAACCTTCTTCTTCGAAAGTCCTCTCTTAGCAGTCATATTCCCAAGAAAGTCAGCCATGTTTGCTCTCGTGACTCACATGAAGCAAAATACCCTCATTACTCTTCCAGATTCTCAAAACTTTCCTGCTCATTCTTAATCACTTCCAGGGAAATTGACATATCTTTGAAATTCGAAAGCAGTGTCTTCGAAGTGGGTTGCTGAAATAATTCAATTACCAAAAGTATTTTTAAATAAATATTTGTTAAAAATAAACGCTGATCGATTGGCGTTTTTTTCCTTTCTGGTTATCAGCAATCAAAACAAATGTGTGTTGGGAAAAAAAGAACAACCGAACTCAGTTTTTATGAGCCATGCAGAATTCTTTATAAGGGGACAATTAGCTAAGCACAATTCCAGGAATTGGACAATTAATTATGTTGCTGATGGGAAATTAAACCTAGAATTTAAAAAAAAAAAAAAAAAAAAACAATTTATAACAGATTTGAGATTTGAAATTAAAACAACGGCAGGCGTAATGGGCTTTTTAATAACCTGCACGCTCCAGCCACAATTGGATGCCGACCAAGAAATTGTTTTATTTCTCCCTCACTCCCACCCTCACAACTTAGAATCATAGATCGCAAAGATATCGAAATATTTGATCTGAATCGACTCTTTTAAGTTAATTTATTTATTCTTAAATATTCAACAGATGTTTGTTGATATTTTTATTTACCAAACAGAAGAATGTACGCTCACACACAATACGCTATAGTTTTGTGTGGAATTTGCTTTGTTTTGGTGGAACACCCTACCCTACCCTCCACTTCACACACTTGCCCAGAAAACTTTGTCTAAGGCATCAATAAATTTTACTTTTAATGGTATTTGGTATGATTTGTTTTCATTTGAATGGCTCATCAGGGCAATCGTTTTGGTCAAATTCGACCAAAGAATTACTTAGCAGCAGACCCTTAGAAGATCTTCGATTGGATCTATCCAAAGAAGGCTCAGGGAGTCTTTGGAAAGCTTTGGTATTTTAAAAGACCTTATGTAGTCTTTCTAGACCGGCTGAGGGCTCTCAGGGAGTCTTCATTATAGACGAGCTAAAGCGGATCAGCGAGTTTTTCAATAGATGATTTGGAAGTCTATTTCTATAGGCGAACTGAAGCGGCTCTCACGGACTCTATTTCCAAAGACGAGCTGAAACGGATCTCTCAGGGAGTCTATTTCCATAGACGAACTGAAGGGAGTCTATTCCCATAGACGAGCTGGAGCTGCTCTCAGGGAGTATATTTCTATAGACGAGCTGGATGCGCTCTCAGGAAGTCTATTTCCATAGGCGAGCTCTCTCAGGGAGTTTTTCCATAAATGAACGGAAGTCTCTCAGGTTGTTAATTTCCATAGACGAGCTGAAGCGGCTCTCTCAGCGAGTCTATTTCCATAGGCGAGCTGAAGCGGCTCTCTCAGGGAGTCTATTTCCATAGGCGAGCTGAAGCGGCTCTCTCAGGGAGTCTATTTCCATAGGCGAGCTGAAGCGGCTCTCTCAGGGAGTCTATTTCCATAGGCGAGCTGAAGCGGCTCTTTCAGGGAGTCTATTTCCATAGGCGAGCTGAAGCGGCTCTTTCAGGGAGTCTATTTCCATAGAGGAGCTGAAACGGTTCTCAGGGAGTCCCTTTCCATAGACGAGCTAAAGCGGTTCTCAGGGAGTCCATTTCCATAGCTTCCTTTGGAATTTTCAATTCACAGCTGGTAGTCGAACTTTTTGTGTATGGGTGTGTGTGTGTGTTTGGCAGGAGAGTGAAGTCCCCCAAGCAAACGAAAAAACAGACAACGAATCTGGAATAAACAGGTTTGAGGGTTATCTCATCAAAGGTAAAAAATCTGAAGCGGCTCTCCAAGGGAGTCTATTTCCAAAGACGAGCTGAAGCGGCTCTCAGGGATTCTATTTCCATAGACGAGCTGAGACAGCTCTCAGAGAGTTTTTCCATAGACGGAGTCTCTGAGTCTCCCATAGACGAGCTAAATGTCATATAAATGACATTTAGGGTCATCGTTTTTGTCAGCTTCGACCCAAGAAATTCTTAAAAGAAGACTTTCGCAGAATTTTCTGTTTGACCATGAATCAGGTTCAATAAATCGAAGGCTTAATGAGTCTCTCTAGATATGCTGAAGATTCCAGGAGTCTCCCCAGACGAGCTGAAGCGACTTCCTAGACGAGTTAGTGGCTCAGGTTTTCGTAGAATTATCTGTTTGTTCATGGCTCAACCAATAGAAGACTCAATGGGTCTGTCTATACAAGCTGAAGATTTCAGAAGTCTCCCCAGACGAGCTGAAGCGGCTTCCTAGGGTAGAGTTAGCAGCTCGGGGTTCTTTTCGTAGAAAAGTCTTTTTTATAGACGGGCTGAAAACTCAGCGAATATTCTGTATAAGCGAGGTGACAGCTCAGCTTATATTAGCATGAGTAGGGCTCTGGTGGTCTCCATGTACGTTCTAGAGCTCTAATAGGAGTCAGACGACTTCTATAGACATTCTGGCGGTTCAAGGAATATTTGTAGTATTTCTGGACGGCCTTTAAGCGAGCTGGAGGATAACCAAAGTCCATTTAAGACTCAGCGAAACTTATGCAATAAACTGAACGTTTACGAAGCCTTTGAAGGTAAATTGAATGATCTGGTAGCCTCTATAGTACGACTTAAGGGATTGGGTTCAGTTTCAAAGAGTTGAAGGTCTAAATGGCCTTTATATCCTAGCTAAAGCATTGATGAGTACCCATAGACCTGAAGCTCGTGGATTTGCACTGGTCTCCAGTTTTGTCTAAATGTCTTCCATGGATGGAATACCCCGAAATGGTATGCTACGAGCCAACTACTGTAGAATCTCATTTGGTAGCTAGCTCATTCGTTAGAGGATCGAGATCGGGCCCCACGTTGGGCGCCATATTGTGACTTCTCACTCGGTATGTAGCTCATTCGGTAAAGGATGAGATTCTTAATTTCAGGGTCGTGGAATCGGGTTCCATGTTGGGAGCCATATTGTGATGTCCATTCGGTGGCTAGCTCTTTCGGCAGATGATAAGATCCTTAATCTCACGGTCGTGGGATCGGGCCCCACGTTGGGCGCCATATTGTGACTTCTCATAGAGGATGAAATTCTTAATTTCAGAGTAGTGGGGACGCCCCCCCTGTTCTGGGATCGGGCTCCACGTTGGGCGCCATATTGTGACGTCTCATTCGATAGCTAGCTCATTCGGTAGAGGATGAGGATCTTAATCTCAGGGTCGTGGAATCGATCTCCACATTGGGCGCCATATTGTGACTTCTCATAGAGGATGAAATTCTCAATTTCGGAGTAGTGGGGTCGCTCTCCCCGTTAAACCCCATATTGTGGCGCACGGTATTCTATAGAGAGGTCTCCATATTTCTATGTGTTTCCCATGCTTAGAAGACTTTCTAAAGCTTTCCCACAGTCAGAAGACCTTTTTTAAGCTTTCCTTTTGTCAAAAGACCCCTTGATGAATAACCTTTTGAAGATCTCCTATAGATGGAAGGCCTTCTGAAAGACTTTCTTACATTTTCATGAGGTCTTTAATCTATTGGTGCGATATATTTTTTTACAAGAAAATTTATTTCAACTTGGCAACACTGTCGATTTTTTGGTCACTTTGAGTAGTTTGTTGGCTACAAGTGTGTCTACTACCACTGGTCTATTGGTACTGGCGCTGCTACTGCTGCTCTTTTTTTTGTTGGTCGTTGGGGTTCGTGTCGCCTCTGCCATGGCCATTAGTCATAAACAAATCCACACATTTCCCCAGCGGCATCATTCGTGGATGGCTCCTTCCCCGTGGACGCATTCTTCATTGGCTAGCCTTTGATATAGAAAATGATTAAAAATTGCTTTGATTATGGAAATCTCAAAGAGATAGGGGGAGGAGAGAGAGAGTGAGAGTGCTGTAGAAGAGAGAAACCACTTGACCTGTTATTTATTTGTTTTAGTTTTTTTGTTTTTTGATTTTCAACAGTATTCCTTGGAGGAAATATCACAAAATTCCATTAAGTACGGGCATGACATTTGTTTTTGAAAATTCAATATTGTGTGAAAAGCTGTGAATACGATTTTTGCAAAAAAAAAAAAAAAAAATTAACAACCAATAACAACAACAACAGCCGACGAATGTAAAATTACGTGCGAAATTAAATGATCAAGTGTTGAATTGAGTGCAGAGACAACAGAATCGTTGAGAAGTGGGGGCTCTTAATACGTTCGAAAACAGCAACGACGGTAACAACAAACAAAGAAGGGGTTCTGTCCATCTGTATGTCTGTCGTTTCGACTACTTGAAGCTGACGCGTACACATTAATTCTCCAACGACACGTTGAGATTGTGACAACGGCGAGTATTTCAACAAATTTCAACACCCAACCCCACTCCCAACGTTTTGAAATATTTTCCATCTGAAAAATTGGTTGGAATTGTCCCTGATTTTTGCTGACATCCAAGGAGGCGGATCACAACTGTTTTGAAGGTGAAAAGTTATTATCAGAATTAAGCCAGAAATCATCGTGCCAGACAGAAGAGTCAGCCAGCCAGCCAGCCAGCCACAAGTCTGATCAAAGCGCATTCCATTTAAATGAATGGAACATTCTTCGTCTTAAGATATACGGTAAGTGCTGTCTTTAGTTTTAATTTATTTTATTAAATACTTACATATGTGTACATACATACACACATATAAATATAAATTAAGATTTTGCGGAAATATTTTGGCGAAGAAAAGTCCATATCGGATGAGGCGAGCTGAAGGTTTTCAGCGAGTCTTCGTTATTAGAGAGATAGGAAGAGCTCAGCGTGTCTTCTTTGCATGCGACCTGGGAAGCTCTCAGAGAGTCTTCTTATAGGGACGCTGAAGGCTCTCAGCAATTTTTCTCCATAAGCGAGCAGATGGTTCTCAGCGAGTCAACTTCATAGGCAAGCTGAAGGCCTCAGGAAGTCTTCCCCATAGACGAGATGAAGGCCCCTAGCAAGTTTTCTCCATAGGCGAGCTGAAGGCTCTCTGCTATCCCAGGTCGTATGCGAGTTGTAGGCTCTCAGAGAATCTACTGCATATGCGAGCTGAAGGCCTTCAGCGAGGCTTCTCCATAAGTGAGATGAAAGATCTCAGTGAGTCTTCTTCATAGGCGAGCTGAAGGCTTTTAGGGTGCCTTGTCCATAGGCGAGCTGAAGGCTCACAGCGAGTCTTCTCCACAGACGTGATGAAGGCTCTCAGGGAGCTTTTTCCGTTGGCGAGCTGAAAGCTCTCTGCGAGTCTTTTACATAGGATAGCAGAAGGCTCGCAAATGGCCGTCTGCTTCACAGACGCGCTCGGGAAACTTTTCCATAGGCGAGCTGAAGGCTCTCAGGAAGCAAATTTATATTTCCATATAGACCAGCCAAGACCATAGGCGAGCTGAAGGCTCTCAGAAAGCGTATTTCTTACTTCCGTATAGACCAGCTGATGGCTCAGACAGCCTATATCCTACTTCCGTATAGACTAGCTGAGGGTCAGGGAGTCCATAAACAAGCTACGGTCTCAGGCGCATATAGATCAGTTGAGGGCTCAAACAGTCTAAGGGTCCAGGGTGTTCATAGACAAAAGGGTAGGTCAGGGAGTCTATAAACTAGCTACGGTCTCAGGCGCCTATAGATCAGCTGAGTGGCAGGAGATATAAAGATAAGCTAAGGGTTTGGTTATCTATAAACATTCTAAGTATAGCTAGAGGACCCAGGAAGCCCAAAGTCTTTGACGAGTCCAAAGAAAGGTGGACGGAGTTCATAGGCAGGGCTAAGAGAAGCCCATAGCCGAGTTGAGGCTTCAAGAAGAAGTTTTTATAAAATAATGCCTATAAATCTGCCCGAGACCAATAGGAAATAATAGTTCTATAAGAAATCTAGAGAAGATCTGAAAGACCCGCTGTAGACATTCCACCAACAAAAACTAATCGGAAGGCATTTTATCTACAGAAGATTTTAAGGTGGCTCTCTTCCCACAGGAGATCTTTATAGGGTCTTGTATCTACAGAGGATCCATGGGGGAAGGTTAGGGAGTCTATAGACTAGCTAAGATCTCAGGTGCCTATAGACCAGCAATGAAGATAAACTAAGAGTTCGGTGATCTATAAACATTCAAAGGATAGGTAGAAGGCTCATGAAGTCCAAAGAAGAGCCAAGTGTTCGACGAGTCCATAGATAGGTGGATGGAGTTCATAGACAGGGCTATAAGAAATCAATAGCCGAGCTGAAGCTTCAAAGGCATATGGATCTCTACAGATGAGCTGAGTACTCAATAATTTTCTATGAAGGATACCCATAAATCTGCCCGAGACCAATAGGAAATAATCTTTCTGTAGAAAATCTAGACCTGCTGGGGGCATTCCATCAACAAAAATCCAACGGAGGGTATTTTATCCACAGAAGATTTTTAGGTGGCGCTCTACCCACAGCTGTTCTTTATAGGGTCCTCAATCTATAGAGCGCCCATCAAAGGTCATATGCTGACCATGCTGAAAATCTCTAAATTATAAGGGACCCTGAGAAGGATTTATTCTTATTTGACCGTTACATGTCCTTGGGTCCGTAGAAGAACTAACATCTGTGAACAGATCTATGGAAGAAATCCTTAAAAGGATTTATTTTAATAAAAGATGAAATGTCCAAGGTTTGTAGAACATTCAAATTTTTGGAAGAAGTCCTCTTGTACACTTTCTCTATATAGAGGAAAGAAGGTCTTATGGGAGGTACATAAGGCTTCTATCTAAAGAATTTCTTCAAGCTATTGAAGATTTCTCCTCTCCAAAAGCCTTTCCCTGGAATTTTTTAACAATGAAGCCAATTCATAACCGATCATGTCCGGAAAAATGAATGAACATTTCTTTCCCATTCTTAGAAAACAAATCGATTTTCCTAGCATTATTTTTTGCCTATCATTGCTAATGATTTGAAATTTTCAATTGGATCAATATTTATGTAGCTCTCCAGAGCTGACATTGGCATAGCGGTGGCTATAGCTGCGGAATAATTGCCTGCCTGCCTGCTCGCTGGCATGTCCGCCTCCAGAGGAGACATAATTGTTGTATTGACATAAAGTTTTTACACCTGTCTTGAGTTGTTTGTTCTTCTCTTCTTCTAATCTTATCACACAAATGTTGTTGTTTTTGTTTTTTTTGCTGTTTTTTTTTCTGGAGTAGAGTTATTAATTTGATATTTTTTTCCACATTATTTGCTATTGCTGTTGTTGGCTTTAATTTGGTGATATTTACTTGCCCCGTTGTTGTTGTTGCTTTTGGTTTTGGCATACTTGAGAGAATATAAAATAAATTAAAATGAGTCTTTGAATCGCACATTTTGTTTTGGGCGTGATGTTGTTGGTGATAAGAACGAGCAACGAAGCAACACTCATCCACTGCTGGCAGGTTGGTTCGTTGGCTGACAGGCAGGCAAGCAGGCGTCAAGCTGGACAGACACACAGTCTGAAATTTATGCGTTAGATAGGTGAATGAATTTCATGTTGTTATGTGGATAAGAAACAAACAAAAACAACAATAATTTAAGAAAAAAAAAAGGAAAAAAATCAGATAGCCATGATGGCCTGTTTCTTTTAATCATAGATATGGTCCCTTGAGTTACTAGGGCAAAAAATGTGGGAGGGAGGATGAAAACCGAAAAATGCCTGGCATTTTTTTGCACTCGCCCAAGTTTTAATTAAAATGAGGATTTATTTGAAAATTTGTTATTTATTTTCAAACAAGAAAAAAATAAAATAAACTTATATTGGTAGGACGGTAAAAGAAGAAAACGTAAGGAAAAATGCTTCCAGAATCTATCTTCCTTGCTTTCAATTTATAAAATACGCTAGGTTAGGTTAGGAGTCTACTTCAGATGCCCTGGAAGATCTAATCAGAAAAGATCCATATATATCCTATCCTAGATAGAAAATCCGCAGATATTTAAATAGAAGACCAGAAGGTCTTCTCATAGAAGACCAGAACGTATTTTCCAGAAGGCCGGCATTTTCTCATAGAAGACCAGAAGGTCTTTTTATAGAAGACCAGAAGGCCGGAATTTTCTCATGGAAGACCAGAAAGTCTTTTCCAGAAGACAAGAAGGTCTTTTCCAGAAGACCAGAAGGTCTTCTTATAGAAGACCAGAAGGTCTTCTCATAGAAGACCAGAAGGTCTTCTCATAGAAGACCAGAAGGTCTTCTCATAGAAGACCAGAAGGTCTTCTCATAGAAGACCAGAAGGTCTTCTCATAGAAGACCAGAAGCTCTTCTTAAGGAAGATCAGAAGGTCTTTTCCAGAAGGCCGGAATTTTCTCATAGAAGACTAGAAGGTCTTCTAATAGAATACCAGAATGCCTTCTCATGAAAGATTTAAAGAAGGTTTTCTAATAGAAGACCAGAAGGTATTCTAATAGAAGTCCAGAAGGTCTTCTCGTAAAAGACCAGAAGGTCTTCTAATAGAAGACCAGAAGGTCTTCTAATAGAAGACCAGAAGGTCTTCTAATAGAAGACCAGAAGGTCTTCTAATAGAAGACCAGAAGGTCTTCTAATAGAAGACCAGAAGGTCTTCTAATAGAAGACCAGAAGGTCTTCTAATAGAAGACCAGAAGGTCTTCTAATAGAAGACCAGAAGGTCTTCTAATAGAAGACCAGAAGGTCTTCTCATAGAAGACCAGAAGGTCTTCTCTATGAAGACAAGAAGGTCTTCTCTGGGAAAACACAAAGGTCTTCTCTAGGAAGACACGAAGGTCTTCTCATAGAAGACCAAAAGGTCTTCTCTGGGAAGATACGAAGGTCTTCTCTGGGAGGACACGAAGGTCTTCTCATAGAAGACCAGAAGGTCTTCTCATAGAAGACCAGAAGGTCTTCTCATAGAAGGCCACATGGTCTTCTCATAGAAGACCAGAAGATCTTCTCATAGAAGGCCAGAAGGTCTTCTCATAGAAGACACGAAGGTTTTCTCATAGAAGACACGAAGGTCTTCTCATAGAAGACACGAAGGTCTTCTCATAGAAGACACGAAGGTCTTCTCATAGAAGACACGAAGGTCTTCTCATAGAAGACACGAAGGTCTTCTCATAGAAGACTAGAAGGTCTTTTCATAGAAGACTAGAAGGTCTTTTCATAGAAGACTAGAAGGTCTTTTCATAGAAGACACGAAGGTCTTCTCAGGAAGGACACGAAGCTCTTCTCTGGGAAGACTCGTGGGTCTTCTCAGGGAAGACACATAGGTCTTCTCAGGGAAGACAAGTAGGTCTTCTCAGAAGGTTTTCTTATGAGAAACCAAAAGGTCTGCCTTTAGAAGATCTCAAGCTCTGCGTCTAGATGACCTCATGGCATGCGTCTAGAAGACTTCATGGTCTCCCTCTAGAAGACCTCATGGTCTTTGTTTTGTCATTTACCTCAGACAACCCTTTCTTGTTTGTGCCATTTTCAGGGACCGAAGTTAATTTAAGTCTCATTTATTCGTTCTCATGCTTTGCAAACCCCTCCGCCCCCTTTCTCACCACATGACATTACTTTAATGAAGATAAAATGCATTGAAAATTGGTTCTTTGATGGTGAAAACACAAAACCGCAGCACATCAATGACAACACTAGTCATTAACATCAACGCATCTCCCATC